CTCCCAGTTAGGAATCACTGGAGTTGAGGCCCCTAATGGATTGGGGGAGCCACGGGGTAGAATGGAGGTAGCCCCATCATACGGGCCTGTGTAGACCCCAGAAAACAAGCATTGAGTTCAGACTCTTGTCTGAAGCTGGCCACATGAAAGTATTTGGGGTGTGATGAGGGCCTGGGGTCAGGGAACTGGTTTGGACACGCAGGACGTTCTCTGCAGCTCCCACAGGTACAGGGTATGTTGCTAAGTATATGCTTTTAAAAACCCTAGGAAGAGGGGGCACCCAGAAGGGGCCCTGAAGCCAAGGGCATGGTCCAGTCTTTCCACTTCCCCAGCTGAAGACAGGCTGGAGAACAGTTCTCCGGAGTTTCATAACAAAGAAGAGAAAAAAGACATCAAAAAGACCTGGAGGATAGGAAAGCTAATGAGGACTGACTGGGATTACCCTGCCTAATCCTCAAAACAAGCCTTCCTTATCTGTCCTCTGGGCCAGGTGAGGAAACAGGTCACAGTAGGACATTCAGACCCTGGGCAGGCAGCTGGGAGCCTGGAGCCCAGGAGGCCCAAACAGACTGTCCCAACCCCAGCCCTCAGCCATGAGCGGCTCCGCCAACAGCTCACTCACTGGTAAATCAGGCCCACTGGGCTGCCTGCCCTTCCGCAATCCCCCTCTCTCACCAGGCAACAGCCTCCCTGTTCGTGGCTGCCAGACTGCGGATGGCAGTGCACGCCCCCTTCATTCTGGCTTCTCAGCTGCCCACCAGGCCATCCCTCTCTGCCAGGCCACCTGGAGCCTAGCAGTGTGCATGCGAGATGGGCAGCACCTGGAATATTTGGGCAGGCTTGGCTGGGGGCTGCAGTTCCTGTGCAGGGTGGAGTTAGCGCCCCATCCCATTCTCTGGCCCCATGACCCCTCTGAGAAGACCCTCCACATACTGCCAGGCCTTGACCACCAGTAGCCCCACATCCAGGAGGCATCAACATGTTCACCTCTGATTGGCAGTGGACATGCAACCCTGGGCCAGACCCCTTAGAATCCCAGGTATTAGAGAGCTAGGTGAGGGCAAGGGTGGCATCAGAGTGAAGGGGGCCTGCCCCTCCACATCTGTGGGTATTTCTCGAAAGGTGGAGATGAGAGACTGAAAAAAGAAATAAGACACAGAGACAAAGTATAGAGGAAGAAAAGTGGGCCCAGGGGACCTGCGCTCAGCATATAGAGGACCCGCACCGGCATGGGTCTCTGGAGTTCTCTCACTATTTATTGATCACTATCTCTACTATCTTGGCAAGGGGGATGTGACAGGACTACAGGGTAGTGGTTGGGAGAGGGCCAGCAGGAAAACACGTGAGCAAAGGACTCTGTGTCATCAATAAGTGTAAGGAAAGGTGCTGTGCCTCGATGTGCACGTCGGCCAGATAGATGTTTGACTTTACACCAACATCTCCGTGCAGTAAAGAGCAGTATTGCCGCCAGCATGTCTCGCCTCCAGCCATAAAGTGGTTTTCTCCTATCTCAGTAAATAGAATGTATGGTCAGGTTTTACCCCGAGACATTCCATTCCCAGGGATGAGCAGGAGACAGATGCCTTCCTCTTATATTCACTGCAAAAAGGCCTTCCTCTTTCACTAATCCTCCTCAGCACAGACTTTTTACGGGGGCCGGGCTGGGGGATGGTCAGGTCTTTCACTTCCCACGAGGCCATATCTCAGGCTGCCTCAGTGGGGAGAAACCTTGGACAATACCCAGGCTTTCTTGGGCAGAGGTCCCTGAGGTTTTCCGCAGTGCACTGTGTCCCTGGGTACTTGAGACTGGAGAATGGCGATGACTTTTACCAAGCATACTGCCTGCAAACACATTTTCACTAAGGCACGTCCTGCACAGCCGTAAATCCATTAAACCTTTAGTCAATACAGCACATGCTTCTGTGAGCACAGGGTTGGGTCTAGGGTTACAGATTAACAGCATCTCAAGGCAGAAGAATTTTTCTTAGTACAGATCAAAATGGACTTTCTTATGTCCTCGTCTTTCTACATAGACACA